GATTTTATTTATTTGACACAGAGAGAGGGAGAATGCAAATGGAGCCTGAGAGGGAGAAGCAGACTCTCCGCTGAGCAGAGGGCCCAATGTGGGACTCGATCCCAGGACCCTGGGATCATGACCTGAGCCGAAGGCAGACACTTAACCAACTGAGCCACCCAGGCACCCCTGGTGTATGAATTATATCACAATAAAGCTGTTATGAAAAAGAAAAAGAAAAAAAAACATTGCTGTCTTGTTCACTGCTAAATTCCCAGTGGTGAACGCACAACCTGGCACATATTAGGTACCCAATAAATATTTGTTGAATTTGAAATGTGTGTATGTGTATGTATGTGGCCATCTCCAACTGCTGCCCATAGGCACCCATACTTACTGAGTCAAAAAATGAATTCCTGATTTCTCCAAATTAGGAGGGCCTGTGGAGGAAAATACCCATAAACTCCATGAGGGCAGGGACCTTGTCCACCCTTCTATCCCCGGCTCTCATAACAGTGCCAAACTCGTAGCAAATACTTAATAAGTATTTGTTAATAAATGTTGAATATGGAGTCTAACCTAAATTCTGGCTAATAGAGTGCTTGGCCTATGCTTGTTAATGTTGAATTCAAATCTAAAGATGAGGCCCTATAACCATTTAAATGGGTATGAGCCTTGGTCAGTCTTCATATTGTGAAGAAAAGATCCCTAAGAGAGGCACAAAGTCCTGGGGGCTTCAGATGTAGCAGGAGTCAGTGTAGTTAGGGATGTTCAAAGGGGCCTCAGAAGGAAAGAATGTTTGATATATGGGTAAAATTGATTTGCTATGTGAGGCAAGTTGGCAGGTGAAAAGGATATACCCAGTGGAATTGTAGGAATAAAGGTATAGGGGCAGGAAACTGGAAAATGTATTTGGAAAATCCAGTTTGATTTTCCAACTTTGCCCATAACTTAAGGAACTGGGCTAGTTGGGTCTGTAGGTGCTCTTTTGTCATTGAGGAAATTTAAGCATGCCTAAGATGTCATTTGTTGGATTTGCACAATTCGTACTTATGGCCACATTGAGCTAGTGCCCTACATCTGAAACCTTGTATGTCCATAACCCACTTTCTGATAGTCACTTCTTTTTTATTTCTCTGTATGTTTTAAATTATATAAATAATACATGAGTACATTCTCATCATAAAAGATTAAAACAAGACAGTCAATCCAGCCATTCCACTTCTGGGTATATACCTAAAAGAATTGAAAGAAGGGATTTAAGGGTACCTGGCTGGCTCAGTTGGAAGAGCATGCAACTCTTGATCTCAGCGTCATGAGTTTGAGCCGCGTGTTGGGTGTAGAGATTGCTTAAATAAACACTTAAAAAAAAAAAAAAAGCAGGGTCTTTTTTTTTTTTTTTAAGATTATTTATTTATTTATTTGAGAGAGAGAGAGCACCTGAGGGGGGGAGGGTCAGAGAGAGAAGCAGACTCCCTGCCAAGCAGGGAGCCCGATGCGGGACTCGATCCAGGGACTCCAGGATCATGACTTGAGCCGAAGGCAGTCGCTTAACCAACTGAGCCACCCAGGCACCCACAGCAGCATTAGTTAAATACCCAAAAGGTGGAAGCAACCCAAGTGTCCATGAATGAATGAATGAATGAATGAATGAATGAACAAAATGTAATATAAACACACAAAAGAATATTATTCAGTCTTAAAAAAATGAAGTTTTTTTTTTTTTAAGATTTTTATTTATTTATTTGAGAGAGAGTGAGAGCGAGCAAGAGAGAGAGCCCAAGTGGGGGGTAGGGGCAGAGGGAGAAGGAGAAGCAGACTTCCCACTGAGCAGGAAGCCTGACTTGGGGCTTGATCCCAGGACCCCAGGATTGATCCCAGTACCCCAAGATCATGACCCGAGCCAAAGGCAGACGCTTAACCCACTGAGCCACCCAGGTACTGCAGTCATTTTGCTTTTAAGGTTTAGGTTGTGTTGGCTCCATAGTTTGTCTCAGCTAATATTCAAGTATTAGGGTGTAGTTAATCTAAACTAATGGGTTGTTTCACAATATGTGTTATTGTTTATGTGTTCAATGTGAAATTTCATTGGGTTACATTTTATTTTAAATTCACAAAAATAGATCAGTAATTCAACTCAGTAATTCAATTAGTTAGTTGAAAGTTAATTAAATCAGGATGCTGAATACTTTTAAACTCAGGGGAAAAAAAAATTGTAACTGAAACATCGACCAGGAATCCAGCGCAAATAACAATACAGTGTGACTATGCAGGGGCTGGGCCATCCACAAGCATGATGAATTATGATGAGCAGCTGAAAAAGAAAAGGGCTAATAAGAAATACAATGAGCCTCTAAGACATATGTTTTATTAAACTGGTAATCTATTTTCCCCTGTTTCCCAGTACATTAGGTTATGAAACTTGGCCAAATAGTGGCATAAAGCCAATGAAGACTTAGTGGTATTTTTAAGAAAAGCTCAGTGGCCAATCTGATAATCAAAACAAACTTTCTAGAGGAAGAGAAGCCCACAAAATAATGCTTCCTGATAAGAAGCATTATTGATAACATTTACCCCTAAAGATACGAGAAGTGGTCAAAACTACAAAGGCATCCTTTAAAGTTGCAATTTTCAAAGCCAAAACAGTGACAGGTCATATTCTTGCCAAGAAGCTTTTAAAGTCAGTCGTAACATTGATGATAAATATGCTCAGTAAGAAAGATAAATAAGCTTTTGGTAAAATTCCTTTATCAAAATATATTGTTGGGGAAAAAAGAAACTGTTGGACATTGCATAATATCAATGGCATACAAAGTGGATGAGCACATTGGCTGGAGTTGTCTGGGGCTGCTGGAGAAAGTCATCCAATCATGCTAGGCCCTGGAAACCTATCTCACCACTTTCCACTCATTTTCATTGATCTGATGAATTAGTTGCCTATTTCTGTATAACAAATTACCCCGAAACTTAGCAAATTAACACAACAAACATTATCTCACAATGTCTATGGGTCAGAAATTTGGGACCATCATAGCTGGGTGGCTTGAGCTCAAAGTTTTCCATGAAGTTATAGTTAAGATGTCCAGAGGGGCTGCAGTCTCATCTGAAGGCTTAACTGAAGGATCTGCTTCCAAGCTCCACTCTTTTGGCTGTTGGTAGGTCTCAATTATTCTTGGACTACTGGATTGAAGCCTCAGTTCCTAGTTGGCTATTGACTCCAGGTCTCCCTCTGTTCCATGCCATGTGGGCCTCTCTTTAGGGCAGTTGCAACATGGCAGCTAGCTTCCATCAAAGTAAATGATCCAAGAGAGAAAGAACCAGCTCAAGAATAAGATTACCAATGCATCCTGTTTTTGCACTGAAATTTCCACATCTCAGAAAACCCTTCAGTCCCAGGTAAAGCAGGATGGTTGGTGACTCCATCAAGACAAAAGTTGCAGTGTTTTTTTGAGCCTAATCTCTGAAGTGACATATCATCATTTCTTCCACATTCTATTCGTTAGAAATGAGTTCAGTACAGACTCGGAGGGGAATTAAGTTCTACCTTTTGTTTTTGTTTTAAAGATTTATGTATTTGACAGAGAGGGACACAGCGAGAGAGGGAACACAAGCAGGGGGAGTGGGAGAGGGAGAAGCAGGCTTCCTGCCGAGCAGGGAGCCTGATGAGGGGCTCGATCCCAGGACCCTGAGCCGAAGGTCATGACCTGAGCCGAAGGCAGGCGCTTAATGACTGAGCCACCCAGGCGCCCCAAGTTCTACCTTTTGAAGGAAGGCATTTATCAAAGAATTTGTAGGCATATTTTTAAAACCATCACATATGGAGTCCAGTTTCATGATGAAAAGAAAATATTACAGAGGAACTCAACTTTTTAACTTACTCCCTACTCAACTTATCTGCTTCCATAAACATCCCTTCCTCCTCTTCTCTTCCTCCATCAGTGAAAGAGGCATCCCTCCTCCTGTCTAAAGCTAACTTCTTCCACCTACTCAAAACCTTTCTCTCACTCCCTCAGTTTCTTCCCATTAACTTTCTCTTTTCCTAGCATATGATCATGTTCAAATAGATCTTACAAAATTTTTATGCTGAGTGTTTTATGGAGGTATAATTTACATATAGTAAAATGTGTAAATAGTATATATACAGCTCGATGAATTTCAACAGACAGACATATCCATTCATCATCTATATCTTTCTTCAATTCACTGAAAGCTGGTTTCTGCCCTTAACCCATGGCTGAAAGCCATAAAATAATCTCTTAAAATCCCTTTAGGTCCATTGGGTCCCCTTTTCAGTTTGTCTCCTGCCTCTCTGGCTTGTTGTTCTCAGTCTCCATCATGGACTCTTTAGTTTACTCCTTAAATGGAGGAATCCTGCACCACTTCTCACTCTACAATGCCTCTGGGTGATTTTCTCTGCTCTCATGACTTCAACTACCTTCCTTATGCATTCACCTCTCCAATATCTATAGCTCTGATCTCTTCCTGGATGTCAACTTTTATATCAACTGCTTCTGAACATCTCCACTTGGATGTCCAACAGACACCTCAAGCTCACTGTGTCCCAGATGTCACATCTCTCATCCTCATTACTCCCCACTAAAGACCTGTGCTTTCTCTTATGTTCCAAATCTCTATAAAAGGCACCATCTCGGGGTGCCTGGGTGGCTCAGTCGGTTAAACATCTGCCTTTAGCTCAGGTCATGATCCCAGGGTCCTGGGATCGAGCCCCACATCTGGCACTCTGCTCAGTAGGAAGTCTGCTTTTTTTTTTTTTAAGATTTTATTTATTTATTTGACAGAGAGAGACACAGCGAGAGAGGGAACACAAGCAGGGGGAGGGAGAAGCAGGCTTCCTGCTGAGCAGGGAGCCCGATGTGGGGCTCGATCCCAGGACCCTGGGATCATGACCTGAGCAGAAGGCAGACGCTTAACAACTGAGCCACCCAGGTGCCCCAGGAAGTCTGCTTCTTCCTCTGCCTCTGCCCCTCTGCACCCCACCCCCCAACTCATGCTCTCTCTGTCTCTAATAAATAAATAAAATCTTTAAAAAAAAGGCACCACTCGGGCGCCTGGGTGGCTCAGTTGGTTGAGCGACTGCCTTCAGCTCAGGTCATGATCCTAGAGTCCCTGGATCAAGTCCCGCATCGGGCTCCCTGCTCAGCGAGGAGCCTGCTTCTCCCTCTAACCCTCCCCCCTCTCATGTACTCTCTCTCTCTCTCATTCTCTCATTTTCACTCTCTCAAATAAATAAATAAATCTTTACCAAAAAAAAAGGCACCACTCAATCACAAAAGTAATTGTCATTCTTGATTCTTCCTTCTCACTCACTTGCCAAATCCAATTAGTCACCAATCTTGTTATTCTACTTTCTTAATGTCTCTCTTATTCATCCACTTTCTCCAACCCCACTGTCACTGCCTTGGTTCATGCTACTTATCCTGATTGTTGTAGTGAACTCCCAGCCAGTCTTTCAGCCTATAGTCTTGCTCCCACACCTTGCCTCACTCCAATCCTTCACACGGCAGCCAGAATGATTTATTCAAACCATAAATGTGATGATGCTACTTCCTTACATAAAACCTTTCAGTAGATCTTCCTGACTTTCAGGATATGGCCAAATTCCTTGGCATGCTACAAAAGGCATTTTGTGTTCTGGCTCCTGCCTACCTCTCCTGCTGGTCTTACTGTCCTCATGTTTGAAAGTATATAGTTCCCTGAATGCTGCATGCTCTCGCTTTTGTGTAAGCTGCTTCTGCTGCCTGGAAAGTTCTCCATCCCACCCCAAAACCTTTTATTCCTCCTTGCCTTTCAAATTAAGCTCATGTATCACGTCCTCTGGGAAGCCTCCACTGCATTTCTCCTGCCCACATACTCACCATCTAATTATGTATCTGTTGCTCTCACCAGACTGTGAGTTTCCTGGGGGCAAGGGCCTTCTTACTTTTTACCCCCAGAATATTACATGAAATAAACAATTGAAATGAATTGTCAAATGAATGAATGGAGATGTTAAGGCCTGGGAGGCTCAGTCTGCCCAGAGGCAGGTGGATCAAACCAAACTCTAAAGTTATCTTCATTCAGATAAATGGGGATGGTGGCCCACAATGTGTGCTCAAGGCTGAAAGAGGATTTTTCAAAGTAAAAAGCAGAAGACATAGCCCTAGTCCTTGAAGAATTTTCAGTATCATTTGCAGCAGAAAAAAATAAAAATAGGGGTGGCTGAGTGGCTCAGTCAGTTAAGTGTCTGCCTTTGGCTCAGGTCATGATCTCCGCGTCCTGGGATCGAGCCCCATTGGGCTCCCTGCTCAGTGGGGAGTCTGCTTCTCCCTCTCCCTCTGCCCCTCCCTTCGCTCGTGCTTGCTCTCTCTCTCAAATAAATGAATAAAATCTTTAAAAAATAAAAGTAAAAGTTGGGCGCCTGGGTGGCTCAGTTGGTTAAGCGACTGCCTTCGGCTCAGGTCATGATCCCGGAGTCCTGGGATTGAGTCCCACATCTGGCTCCCGGCTCAGCAGGGAGCCTGCTTCCCCCTCTGACCCTATCCCCTCTCATGCTGTTTCTCTCTCTCTCTCTCTCTCTCAAATAAATAAATAAATAAAATCTTTAAAAAAATAAAAAATAAAAGTAAAAGCTATCTTTATGAAAGGAAACAAGGTGTAACCGTCAGCCTATACATTCTATAGAAACTCAAGAGAGGAGGCAGAATCTTTTAGGCACTGTCAAAGGACACTCTCACCTCTCTCTCAGAGGAGACTTCCAAGGGACGCTGGGCCACAGTTGGGCCAGTATAGCAATGTAAAAGAGGAAACATAATGTCCAGCACAAACTAGAAATGGGGTTAGGTGTGGGGTGCTTCCTTCCCGGGAGCTTACGGTCTTGAGGAACAGACAGACTGAGCAAGAAATAATTGGAATGAAAAGAATCTGGTAGGAAGGAATAGGACCTAGAGAGATTAATATAAACTGTGTGGATCTGGAAAGGCTTAATGAAGTTTCCCTGCAGTGTTGAAGTGGAAACTGTGTGTCTTATGAAAATAATTCAGATATTTAGGACAGGTGATTCCGGACTAGATAAAGACATAAAGCCTGAGGCATTAAATTTTCCAAATGTGGGACTCTGACATGCTATTTTCTCTGCTCACTGGGCTGCCAATCTTCTCAACATATAAGTCTTTTAGATCCCATCCATCACAATGACATGTCTGATATTTTCTTTCATAGATAGCCTGCTGGTCTGCCTGAAGGAAGCATCTTGTCATAGAGGTTAAGTCAGACCCACCTGGCTTTAAATCACAGATCAACCACTCACTAGCTGCATGATCTTGAGTCAGTGAGTTAACTCTTTTTTTTTTAAGTTTATTTTTATTTATTTAAGTAATCTCTATACCCAATGTGGGGCTCAAGTTCACAACCCCGAGATCAAGAGTATTATGCTCTTCTGAGCCAGCCAGTTGCCCCAAGTTAACTCTTTTTTAAAAATTTGTTATATTTTAAAAAAGATTTTATTTATTTATTTATTTGAGAGAGAGAGAGAGAGAGAGAGTGCGGGGGGAGGGCAGAGGGAGAGAGAATCTCTAACAGACTCTGCGCTGAGCATGGAACCCCATTTGGGGCTCGATCTCATGTCCCTGAGATCACGACCTGAGCCAAAATCAAGAGTTGGACGCTTACCCAACTGAGCCACCCAGGTGCCCCTATATTAACTCTTTTTTTATCTTCAGTTTTCTGGGTGTAAAGTGGGAATAGAAGACCATTTAATCATTTGAATATTAAACAAGATAGTACATGTTAATAGAGCTGTTGGATGACAAACGGTAAGTGGACAATGAATGTTAATAATTATTAAAAACAAGAAGTGGGTTCAAACTGATGTCCAAATGCTCAGAAAGTCAATCTGTCATTATAGCTGAACCCTGGTTAATTGCTTCTATGCAAATCAAACGTGTCTACCAGCAAAGGCAAAGTTGACTGCATTAAAAAAACAAAACAAAACTGGGCGCCTGGGTGGCTCAGTTGGTTAAGCGACTGCCTTCGGCTCAGCTCATGATCCTGGAGTCCCTGGATCGAGTCCCTGGATCGAGTCCCTGGATCGAGTCCCGCATCGGGCTCCCCGCTCGGCAGGGAGTCTTCTTCTCCCTTTGACCCTCCCCCCTCTCATGTGCTTGCTCTCTCTCATTCTCTCTCTCTCAAATAAATAAATAAAATCTTTTAAACAAAAACAAAACAAAACTATTCAAAATAACCATGATCTTACCATTTTCTCCTTGACTTTCCCAATGAAGGAAGTGGTGGGTGGAAGGAGAAAGTTCCTGTACAACCCTGCCAGGAAGGGAAGTAGTCCAGGAGTATCAAGGCAAACCAGTGCACAGGCCACCCTGAAAGCCTCGTTCTTCCCTGGTGCCACTTCCCAAAAGGATCTGTATGGGTTTGCTGGGAGGACACATCCATCCCAGCCTCCCTTAGGTCAAGTCAGGGGCTAAAGAGATGAGACTTTCCGCCTACCAACCCAATGGCTATGGACATCAGAGAGCCTGGCTTTTGAAAGATGAAGGAGCTCTGTGTCACATAGGGTGTCAGGAAGAAATCTCATTCCCCCACATTAAAGGTGACTTTTGTGCAGAAATAGGTGACTAGAGCCACTCAAGTCTTCCTGGGAGGTTTTTTGGGAGCTCTCTTAAAAAGTCCTGGACAGCTGTAGAGGCAGCCTTCTGAGTTGTTATGTGTGTATATGCAGTGGGGGTGGGGAGACACCAATTCCCTGTTTGGCCATTCTGCTTCGGCTAAAAGAAAGGGACCCTGCTGTTGTTGGTTCTTAGAGAGGAGACAGGGTGCTGTGAATGTGGAGGTCCTGTGGGGGAAGGGCCAAGCATGGGGACAACCTTAGCCTCTCTCCTCTAACTAGGGCTTATACCTCCTCCGTCACTGATAAATTGCCTTTGGAGCTTTTGCATTTTATAATTAATAATGGGACACTGAAGGGACTCCATTTTTAGAAAGGCTCTGTCTCTGCTGTTTTTCTGTTTTTCTGCGAGGCCCCATTTATTCATGTTCTATATTTCAACTTGCATCCGAATAAACCAAAGAACCTATGTTCCCACTCCAAGGGGGAAGCAAGAAAGTTAATCATTTTCTGAGTTTGGTCCTTGGCCCCCAAACACCTGATCACATCTAAAAGGTACTGGATCCCAAACACGTTCCAGGACATTAGCTTCGAACAAACCTCATCTGCTGCTGGCATCAGTACCCCCTACCTTCCGTGATTTATGAAATAACACCTATTGTTCACCTGACACTTGCCTTCGATCGGACCTTACCCTGGATTCCTGAAGGAACATGTACCCTGAACCGCTTTCCAATATAACCTCCTGAACCCAAGCAAGGAAGAGACTCCGTCTCCTATCCTGACTCGGCCAGACACTCCGTCTGCTATACTCTATGCCTTATGCGATTCAGTAAACTCTGCTCTCACTTCCTCCTGGCTTGTGTTTGATTTCTATCCTGCACATAGCCAGAGACCCTCTTGGCTGGTCCTGTGCGACCCCCTCTGGGTCCTCAGATCCGGCCTGCCTACGTCAACTTGATGGTTTAAAAGATCCTTTGGAAATCTGTTAAGGCAGTGAATCACCACTGGAAATGTGGTTTGTGTAAATCTGGATTTGAATATAATGTTCTCTTAATGCAACCACATTCAAAAATACGATCATTAGCAATCATTTATACATGCACTCAAGTAATAAAAACATTTACCTAAAGGCTGCTATGTAGCCTGTCTTCAGGTGCTGGTGCTGAAACTCTGCATGATTTGGCCACTCCCTCCTTCATCAGTCTGATCTGACATTCCTTGCTAATCCCTCACCCTACAATGCAGGCATATGCAAACACTCGCAGCCCCAAAATATGACAGAGGGGTTATGAAGTGAGCTCTAGAGCCAAACTGCTCTACCTCTTCCAAACTGTGTGATCCTAGACAAGCCACTTTATTTTTTTTCAAATATTTTATTTATTTGTCAAAGAGCACACAAGCAGGGGGAGCGGCAGGCAGAGGGAGAAGCAGACTCCCTGCTGAGCAAGGAGCCCCATGCAGCGCTCATTCCCAGGACCCCGGGATCATGACCTGAGCCGAAGGCAGACACTTGACCCACTGAGCCACCCAGGAGCCCTGACAAGTCACTTTAAAGTTAATTTGCCTCTCTGCACCTCGGTTTCTTTACCTGTAAACAAGGACTGTGGGATCTAGGGGTTTTTATGGAGCTAAAGTGAGCTTAGAATGTAAACCATGAGAACAGTGCCTGACACTTAGTAAATAATGATCATTAGTATCCTCAGAATGTCCTTTCACTTGGAGGCCTGTCAATCCTACTACTTCCAGACCCTGTTTGAGTGTCATCTTCCGCAGACCTCTCCCCGGCAGAGTTAACACCCCTTCATTATGACCTTTATTACATGGAACTTCAATTGTGTTCAATTTTCAGAATCAAAAAGAAGGCTTCGAGGTCTGACATAATCTGAAAAGAGAATAATCACCAGGAGAGATTCTTGCTTCTATAAAGAACAGTTCGCCAAAAAACAGACCCTTCACTACAGGAACTAGTAGTTACCAGAGGGGAGGTGGGTGGGAGGAAGGGGAGAAATAGGGCATGGGGATCAAGAGCGCATGTATTTATGATGAGCACTGAGTAATGTATGGGAGTGTTGAATCACTATATCGTACCCCTGAAACTAATATCACACTGTATGTTAACTATACTGGAACGAAAAAAAAGAGTTAAAAAAAGAAAACAGAGTAGCTCATTAACCCATCTGTGTAACTAGTGAACTTGAACTGAGCTGGGGAAGGAATATTTTCAGGGTGGAGTACTTCCTGTCTTGGGCCTGCCTATTCCCAAATCGTCAACATCCTGCCTCCCAGCTCGCAACACTAACTGGGCTGCGCAGAGAATGATGCCTGATCCCAGCATTCCCTCTCACCTGAGAGGCCCCAGCTACAGGGAACCCCTTTCAGTTCCACAAAAGGCTTCTGGGCCTTCCTTAGAGCTGCTCTTTCTGCCTCCAGCATTTTCCAGCCCTCCCTTCTCCCTTTTGCTTAGCTGTTCTTCCTTCAATTTTCCTTCCTTCCTCCACCCCTAAAGCCTTCTCTTATCTCATCTCTGGAGATGGATTCCATTATTCCCCCAGGTGGCCACTCAGCAGCAGCTCAGACTTCCCCTTTCATAACACCTCCTACGTTGTCTTGTAACTATTTCTCTGGCTTTTCTGCCAAATTGGAGGTTTCACAAGCCAGGGACTATGCCTTAGAAGACTAACCTTAGGCACAGTCCCTAACCTGTAGGTGATGATTAGTAACTACTGTTAAGAGCAAACATGAATGAATGAATAAATGAATGGAAGGAATGAATGCTTGGTATCAGGCACCCACCTGTGTCACATTCCCTGTCTTTTTATCTTCCCAAGGGATTTCTGTGCATCGTGGGGCTTAAAAGAAGAAGAAGAAGAAGAAGAAGAAGAAGAAGAAGAAGAAGAAGAAGAAGAAGAAGAAGAAGAAGAAGAAGAAGAAGAAGAAGAGGAAGAGAAAGAAGCAGCATGTCTCAAGGAAAGGAAGGAAATTGACTAGGACAGTGATACCTCAAACATTTAAAATTTCACACTAGAGGGATGCCTGGATGGCTCAGTCAGTTAAGCACCTGCCTTCGGCTCAGGTCAGAATCCCAGGGTCCTGGGATCGAGTCCCGCATTGGGCTCCCTGCTCAGTGGGGAGTCTGCTTCTCCCTCTCCCTCTGCCTCTCCCCCTGCTCATGCTCTCTCTCTCTCTGGCAAATAAATAAATAAAATTTCACTAGAGATTCTCAGCATCTGAGAGTTTTCTCCCACTCCCTTCAAAATCCAGCCCTTCCCAATTGAACATGTTTTAAAAGAAAGAAAGATAAAAGAAAAAATATATAGAGAAAATGCTTTCATGCCAGAATGTTAAGTATGGTTTTCTCTAAGCCTGTATTGACTGACACCAAGGCCTCTAGCCACAGAGGCCACTGACCACTCAAAAGGAGGCTAGTTTGGATTGAGATGTACTGCAAGTGCAAGACGCATTCCAGGGGCGCCTGGGTGACTTGGATGGTTAAGCGTCTGCCTTTGGCTCCAGTCATGATCTCAGGGTCCTGGGATAGAGCCCCATGTCGGGGTCCCAGCTCAGTGGGGAGCCTGCTTCTCCCTCTGCCCCTCCCCCTGCTTGTGCTCTCTCTGTCTCTCTCTCAAATGAATAAAATCTTAAAAAAAAAAAAAGGGACACATTCTAGATCTTGAAGACTTAGCATGAAAAAAGGAATTTAAATTTTTGGCCTTTTGATTACAATGTGAAATGATAATGCTTTTTTTTTTAATGAAGTAAGCTCCATGCCCAACATGGGGCTTGAACTCAGGACCCTGAGATCAAGAGTCACATGCTCCACTCACTGAGCCAGCCGAGTGCCCCACTAGTACTTCCGATATAGTTAAAGTTTGATTTCACTTGTTTCTTTTCACTGCTTTTAATAGGCCACTGGATGACTTAAAATGCCCTTTGTGGGCATGTAGAGGTTAGTTTGCAAAGCGGGGTCAGTGGCTACCTTCTTTCTGCTCAGAGTTGCTTTTTTCAGTCCTTTTCTGGTCTGCTAGATGCCCTTGAACTCTGGCATTTTCTGCACTGCCTTTGGTGTGACCTCTGGGGCTGGGACATTGGTGTGGCAATAGGGTCTGCTCCCTGTGTCCTGACCTGTTTGCCCAGTTACTTACCACAGCTCTCGGTTTCTGTCTCTGGCCCCGGGTTGGGACCTGACCTAAGGCTACACAGTTCACTTTGGGCTATGGTTTGGTTTTGGTTTTCTGTGTTCCCTGCATGTGGGAGTTCGGCAAAAAGAAATGAGATCTGTTCTTTAGGCAGTAGTTTTGAAATCACCTATCCGAAAATATTGATAGGGGCACCTGGGTGGTTCAGAGAGAGTGCCTTCGGCTCAGGTCATGATCCCCGGGGTTCTGGGATCAAGCCCCACATTGGGCTCCCTGCTCAGCGGGGAACCTGCTTTTCCCTCTGCCGCTCCCTCTGCATGTGCTCTCTCTCTCTCTGACAAATAGATGAATAAAATCTTAAAAAAAAAAGAAAATATTGATAGATGAAAACTATATCACAAAATGCCTCAAGTTGATCACTGATCACTGTAATAAACAACTTGCCGACATATACAAACTGTTTCCCCTCTGTTCTCCTGAATTAAGGGAAGATTGATTCTTTTTTCTATGTCAAGTTATGCTTTCTCAATCATGCCAACTTTTTTTAAATTTTTATTTATTTATTTATTTAATTTATTTATTTTCAATCATGCCAACTTTAAAAGTCCATATGCTTATACAGGTGAGTGGGAAGGAGAATAACTCTAAATGAACACAAAATCTTAAGCACACACGTCTTCCAAGTCTTTCTTCCTTTCCTGGGTGCCAAGAGAAATATTCCTCCTCCTCAGTAGCTTCAATGTTTCTGCCTCTCTGTGGGACAGGGGTCGGTAAGCATTGGCACTTTGGAGTGATATGACCTAGGCTTAAATCCTGGCTCTGTCACATACTAGCAGTGTAATTTGGGGCAAGTAACTTCTCTGAGCCTCAGTTTTCTCGTCTGTATATTGGGGATGACAGAGTCTTCTGGAAAACACCTGGCCTAGAGGAGCTGTTTATTACCATATTATGCTTGCGTCATTCCCCGCTGACCTGGAGCCTCACTCCTCCCTTTCCCGCCAGCAGCTACAACCACTGCCTTTGCCTTAAAAAAATTATACATGTACATACGGGTCCACAGAGGTGTCTCTCCTGACTTTTAGAAAGAAAAATATGCCCCACTTGACTCTCTCTTTGGTTAATGTCTTACTTTCCCCTTCATTCCATCGTCAGATCTCGGATTGGGGTAGTTTACTGCTGTCCTGTTCTTTCCCTCCTTTCTTCCCAGCCATGTGTCATCTGCTCTGACATTAGAGTGATCCTTGAGATCACTTCAGTAGTGACCAGTAGGTTGGCAAACCCAGCGGTCTCCTGTGGGTCCCCATTCTTCCCGACTTCACTCAGCACTCACTGCCCCTTCTTTAGATGCTCTTCTCCTCCCGTAGCTCTGATGACCACCGGAAGGATCCGTGTCCTTATAAACTCACCAGCTCTGAGGAATCCCTGGCAATCTCCTCGCCTCCTCTACTTCCTGGCTAGCCCCCCTGTGAAATGCTCGGTCAGGTCAGCCGGCCACTTGTCCCCTGTCCTCAGACCTCCCATCAGCCTCCACCCCCCGCCCCTCCCCTCCCCCTCGGGTGGCATTCCTCTGCGCAGGCCTGCCTGTGGTTACTTGGGAGCCAGCACCTGCAGCCACACCACCGTCGACTCCTCCCCTCCAGCGCACAAGCGGAAGTGGCTTCCCAGCTAAAGCCAGACCCTCCACCTCTGCCCTAGAGCCCTCCTGTCTGCCTTCTGGGCACCTTTAGGGGAAACAGCAGATCATCGGTGATTTGCCTTTAGCCTCTCCCACTCCACTATGTCCTCCCCGCAGCATTTAGGATCTCACCCATTCCTTGCCCTCACTTCCCCCTCTAGTTACTGCCTTCTCTCCCCTCCTCCATTTTAGCCAAAGCTCTTGAAATCAAGCCCATGCTCTCTGCTTCCTCCTTTTGCTCTCCACTCTGGTTTCTGCCTTAAGGCTCTGCCAAGGGCTCCCTCCATGCCTTGTGCTTTATTGGGATGTGGGATTCCCTTGATGATGAGGGTGGTGATAGGGCTGTCTCTGTGAAACACCTGCAGAGTACAGATGGATTTCACAAATTAGCCAGGGTCATCTGGCAGGGGTTTGCGACCAGACACTTGAGCACAGAGTTGGTGCTCAACTCACCAACTCTGTGCTGTTGACCACCATGCCACACTGTACTCCATGCTTTAAACTGGATGGTGTGGGCGCCTGGGTGGCTCAATTGGTTGAGCGACTGCCTTCGGCTCAGGTCATGATCCTGGAGTCCCAGGATCGAGTCCCGCATCGGGCTCCCTGCTCAGTGGGGAGTCTGCTTCTCCCTCTGACCCTCCCCCTCTTGTGCTCTCTTTCATTCTCTCTCTCAAATAAATAAATAAAATCTTTAAAAAAAAAATAAACTGGATGGTGTGTGTGCCCAGCACTAGGCACGGTGCCTTGCATCTAGTAGGAGACACATCAACATATCTGAGTGAATGAACACATTCTGCCATCACAGTTCAGGTTCTTCATCTCTCGCTCTTAGAATAGCCCACTGATCAGGGCGCCTGGGTGGCTCAGTGGGTTAAGCATCTGCCTTCAGCTCAGGTCATGATCCCAGGGTCCTGGGATGGAGCCCTGCTCTGCGGGGAGCCTGCTTCTCCCTCTGCCCCTCCCCCTGCTCATGCTCTCTCTCTCTCTCTCACTCTCTCTCTGTGTCAAATGAATAAATAACATCTTAAAAAAAAAAAAGAATAACCCACTGATCAAAGGTTCTTAAAAAGTGCAGGGGCTGGGGCGCCTGGCTGACTTGGTTGGTGGAGCATGCGACTCTTGATCTTGGGGTCATGAGTTTGAGCCCCACATTGGGTGTCCAGATGACTTAAATAAAACTTTTTTTAAAAACTTAAAAAAAAAAAAACAAAAACAAAGAAAGTGCAAGGGCTGAGGTTTATGTCTATTTTCTGAGAAAAGGCCCAGTTTTCATGAATTTTTCATTGGACTCTGGGTCCCCCCAAAAAAGTTAATAACCTCTTGATTCATTCATTCCTCTATCTTTGGTTTTATTTTCCCCAACCTCCTCCCTTACATCCCGTACGCTGCCATTAGATGACTAGATTGTCAGTGTTTTATTTTAATTCTGTCGCTGATAAAAACATAAAAACGAATAACCTGCCTGCACCGAAAGTGGCCTTGAGTGCCTCCTCGGAGGGCTGCCTCCAAGATAAAAATCAAACACTTTGGCTCAACAGCTAAGACTTTAAGTAATCAAGCCCCAGAACGTTTTACCAGTACTATCCTCCATTTGTCTCCTACCTGAGTCTTCTGTTCAGTCAAACTGAAGTCTTGTACCTTTAAAACTTCTGTTCTGACCCACCTTTCAGGAGTTAGTTCAACAGTGATGTGTTACATTCCTGATCCAAGCCAATACTTCTCCTGGAGCTGGGAATACGGGGATGACAACACAATCCTTACTTTCGAGAAACTATCCGATTTGGGAGACATTCGTGAAAACAAAATCCCCAAAATATGGGATAATAAACTCGTGGGAGTTATTCCTGCTCAGAGGTGGGGTGGAACTGCCAGAAAGGAGACTTTCTCAGAGCTAGATGTGTCTGTATTCTTTACATGTTCCTTTTACAACAAACGTGCTTTAATTTTGTAACCAGAAAAAAAGGTCTTATCTGGTAAAGACTGTGATTAATTCAATTCTGAGCACCTGAGTGCCAAGGGGAAAAAACCGATAACTGTCCAAGAATTAGTAAAATTAGGGGTGCCTGGCTGGTTCAGTTGGTGAAGCATGTGACTCTTGATCTCGAGGTTGTGAGTTCAAGCCCCACGTGCGGGGTAGAGATTACATAAATAAAAATTTAAAAAAAGAATTAGTGAAATTAATGAGGAAAGGACAATCAACCAATAGAAAAATGAGCAAAAGCTAAGAATAGAGATTTCCCAGATGATGAAACATTATGGTCAATAAATATATGAAGCCCTGTTCAATCTCATGAATCATCAGGAAGTACAGATTAAGACCACAGTGAGATTCCATTTGATACCGTTTGAGTGGTGAAAATTAAGAAATCTGACCATACCAAGTGTCGGAGAGGATATGGAGCAATAGGATTCCATATATGATGTTGTTGAAACTATGAATTGGTAAAAAGCACTTTGGTCAACAGTTTGGAATTATCTTGTAGAGTTGAAAGGTGACTTAGCCTTTGACCCAGCATTTCTACTCCTATATAAATACACAAGAGAAATTCCTGTACCTGTGTGTACCAGTGGGCTTTACACAAATTTTCTTAGCAGCACTTTTGCAATAGCAAAACCCTGCAACAGTCCGAACGCTCATTATCAGGACGTTGCTGTATTAGTTTGAGTTCCTCAAAAGCAGAGACTGGGTCAAGGACTTGGGTGCAGGTTGTTTATTTGGGAAGTGATCTTAGGCAGTGGGAGTAAAGGACAGAAGGATGAGGCAGAGGAGGAAGAAAAGCTGACTCGGGGCATGTGATTCTATGGACGCCTTTGAGAAGCATACAAAATGGCTCCCAGAATTGTCCATCTGAAGGATGGGAGCCTGGGGCTTTTATCCTTTGGCTCACATCCCCCATTAGTTGAGGGTTAACTCTCCTTACCGTCAGGCTGTGCCTGAGGAGGTGCTGAGAAGTTCTTGTGGCAGAGAAGGGCCTGGAGCAGAAATTGGAGAAACCCAAGGCCCAACACGAACAGTAGGAGTTGTCAGTGTTTGGGAGCTCCCATGAAACTGGCCATGATGTATTTGGCTAAAATCAGAGGTGAGCCATGGGGAAGAACACAGGGTACCAAGAGCCTCTGCTGCAAGGGGCAAAGTAATATTAGTGTATTCACACTCTAGAATAATCTACAGCAGCCACAATAAATAAATTCAGCTACTTGAAGCATGCCCGAGATAAATCTTAGCAATGCAACATGGAAAGTGAAAAAGAAGTCCCAGGATTGGGGCACCTGTGTGGCTCAGTTGGTTAAGCATCTGCCTTCAGCTCAGGTCATAGTCCTAGGGTCCTGGAATTGAGTCCCGTGTTGGGGTCCTGCTCAGTGGGGAGCCTGCTTCTCCCTCTCCCTCTCCCCCTGCTTGTGCTCTCTCTCTCTCTGTCAAATAAACATAATCTTAAAAAAAAAAAAAAGAAGTCCCAGGATATTATGTAGGGAATGACACCCTTTAATAAAGAAAGCAACTAAAATACATGTGTTGGGACTATGTATGTAGGTTCACATGCACAAGTATATACTTATGTGTATATGTAAATATATAGACATATATAAATTTCTAGAAGTTAAACTTTTTCTGTGTACTTGAATTCTAAGGGAAAAAAACTCTAAAGGAACATTAAGAGAACACATAAGGAAATCCTGAAAATTAATGAGAAAATGATAAAACAACTAATAGAAAATGGGCAAAAAGATATGAACAGATATTTCACAAGAGGAAGTATATAGAGCTAGTAGGGACGCATGAGTGGCTCAGTCGGTTGAGCGTCTGCCTTCAGCTCAGGTCGTGATCCTGGGGTCCTGGGATCCAACCCCACATCAGGCTCCTTGCTTGGTGGGGAGCCTGCTTCTCCCTCTGCCTGCCTCTGTCTCTCTCTCTGACAAATAAATAATAAATAAATAAAATCCTATACATATATATATAGCTAGTAAATCCTACATATATGTATATATAGCTAGTAAAGATATATAAGCACCTTCAATCTCACCTTTTTTAAAAAGCAAGACTTTTAAAAATTTTTATAAAGCTAGGGTAATTTTTATAATTGAAGTTGACACACACAATGTTACATTCAGTTTCAGGTGTACAACACAGATTTGACAACTCTACTCCTTATGCTGGGCCCACCACAAGTGTTGCTACCATCGGTCAGCACATAAAGCTACTACCAAACTATCCACTATATTCCCTACACTGTACCTTCCATCCTTGTGACTTATTTATCCCATAACTGGAAGCCTGTATCTTCCATTCCCTTTCACCTATTTTGTCCATCCCCCTCCTCCCCCTCCCTGCTGGCAACCTTCCGTTCTCTGTATTTACTGGTCTGCTTCTGTTTTTTGTTTGTTCATTTGCTTTTTTTTTTTTTTTAGATTCCACATATCCATGAAATCAAAGCTAGGGCAATTTAAAAATTGATTTAAAAAAATATTTTTCTAGATGAAAATATTTTTAGAAGCCAGAAAATGATAAACACAAGATTCAGCATGGGGTGTGTGTGGGGGGGAATATGTGTAAGTTGTCAATCCTAGTTTTTAGGGGGGGGTGATTAGTAACAAAAGAGGGTCATACATGTACCAATAATGTAGGATTCTGACCCATGGATTATATTTAAAGATTTTATTTATTTATATGAGGGGGGAGGTGCAGAGGAAAAGGGAGAGAGAGAAGCAGACTCTCCACTGAGCATGGAGCTGGATGAGGAGCTCGATCCCAGGACCCCAAGATTATGACCTGAGCTGAAGAAATATAGGGTAATAGCCAATAGGGGAAGAATTTCCCATGCTCTGGTCTAATTTTTTTTTAAATTTTATTTATTTATTTGAGAGAGAGAGAATGAGAGACAGAGAGCATGAGAGGGAGGAAGGCCAGAGGGAGAAGCAGACTCCCTGCTGAGCAGGGAGCCCGATGCGGGACTCGATCCAGGGACTCCAGGATCATGACCTGAGCCGAAGGCAGTCGCCTAACCGACTGAGCCACCCAGGCGCCCCTGCTCTGGTCTAATTTAGCTCCTGTATCTCCTTTTAATCTCTTCCAGAGCTCAGTCTCCAGCTAAGTATTTGACCAAAAAATAAAATGTGCCTCAACCAAATGAGCCACCCCCAGGTGCTCCAAACCCAGTTCTGTTCATCTTGAGATCTAAGAAATAAGATTATATGGTATGATAAATGTATTCATAGGTACCTATAAGATATACTGATAACACGAAAGAGGGAGCTGGGAGATGCTCCCTCACACCTGGGAAGGTCAGGGGAGCTTGACCAAAGAGGTGATTGCTAAGGGGTTTAGAAGAATAAAGAGGGGATTGCCAAATTCTGGTGAAGGTGGAGGGTTTGGGAGGGTCCTCCAAGTGGAAAGAGCAGCATGAACCAACATACAGATGGATATGAGAGACAGTGTGGCATGGCCGGTAAACTGCAGATAATTAGTGTGGGCAGAAGAGGAGAGTGGGAGAGGTAGAGGCATGTGATGGACAGAGAAGATAAGAAAAGGTCCATGATAAGGTTAGACAGTATTCCACATTGCAGGCAAACAAGACCTTTGGAGGATTTTAAGCAGGGCACTGACATGATTCATTTCAGGAAGATCCTCCCCACAGAGTGGAGGACTGGTTGGAGGGTGCTGGAGGGAGGAAGGTATTATGATCTTTGTCCAGGTGAGAGATACACAAGGTCTAATTTACTCAGGAGCTCTGGGGTGTGTGTGTGGGGTGGGGTGGGGTGGGGAAGCTGTGTGGTCTAAATCAAGAGGTTTTTAAGATATAGAATGGGCAGAATTTCTTTCCCTGCTCTCCCACATTTTTTTTTTTATAACACTTATTCCTTGACATATTTACTTATCTACGGTCTGTCTCCCCCCACCAGGATGTAAACTGCAGGACAGCAAGGATGTTAATTTTGTTCCCTCCTCAATCCCCAGGGCCTAAGAGTTCCTGGCACATGATAGGTACTAAGCAATTATTTGTTGAACACATGCAGTTTATCTAGGAAGGAGAAATACAGGGTAATAGCCAATAGGGGAAGAATTTCCAATGCTCTGGTCTAATTTAGCTCCTGTATCTCCTATTAATCTCTTCCAGAGCTCAGTCTCCAGCTAAGTATTTGACCAAAAAATAAAATGTGCCTGCTTCTGTCTCTCATCCTTGTCTCAGCCTCAGTTAACGATCTTTCTTGTTCCCACCACCTACTCTGTCTGCTCTCCAGCTACCTCCACTTCTCCTCTCTGGAAACCCTGGTTTTCTGGATTCCCTTAAGATCCTTGGCCATATGCTTCAACAGTTCTCACATTATTCTATGATCACATACCTGCTAGATATTCTGCCTTTGTCTTTCCAGATCCACCTTCCATTTTTTTCCAGAGGTTAGCCTTGATGGACACTGTCACCTGGGCTCACTTCCACTTAGGCTTCCTCTTGGGTTCAGCCAGTGGGGGAGGTACCACAGGAGACCTGAGGGCACGAGAGAGAGGTAGGGCTGTATTCCTGCAAGTTCCTATTGGCTCTCTCTTTCCTGCAGCTATTGTTCTCACTTAGTCTATGGCTGATGATGCAGATTTTTTTTTTTTAAAGATTTTATTTATTTATTTGACAGAGAGAGACAGCAAGAGCAGGAATACAAGCAGGGGGAGTGGGGGAGGGAGAAGCAGGCTTCCTGCTGAGCAGGGAGCCTGATGTGGGACTCGATCCCAGGACCCTGGGATCAGGACCTGAGCCGAAGGCAGACGCTTAACGACTGAGCCACCCAGGCGCCCTCTCCGCAGATTCTAGGCCTGGGGTGCTTCACTATCCCTTGTTGGTTTCCCTCAACCCTGCCTGTCTCTTTGTACACTGTCCCTTCATTAACTCCCTTCAGTTACACATTTTGAGCAGGCCATCTGTTTCCTGCTGATCTTGGCTGATACAAAAGCAAAAATACAGAATTGTATCTTTTTTGAAAAGTTGAGATATGATTCACAAAATTTACCCTTTTAAAGTATACAATTCAGTTTCAGGTTCTTAGTGTAGTGGAACAAATTGTATCTTTTTCTAAATAATATGTAATCAGTAAGTTAAACAATGTTACATGCCGTAAGTTACTCCAACTTTCACTACCACAAATAAGGCTACAGTAAATATTGTACATGTGGCCATTCTCTTTGGGGGAGGGTTATTTCCTAAGGAGAAGTTTCCAGGAGTGGTACTGATGAGTCAAAAGGGCCACATCTCTTTTAAGGCTCTTCAGAAGTATGGTCAATTTCTTCTTAAAGGGGTAATGCCAATTCACATCACAGCTTTCTCTGAATGTATCAATTACATCATCTTATTAAGACTGGAAAGTGTACAAGGGATGTATATTTTGCTAATGCAGTATGCGATGTTACCATTTGAATTTCTTTGATAGCCATACCAATCTTAAGTCATTTAAAGCCATGTTTAGCTAAATGGGAATGGAGGGACAGTGATTTTGAGGGGATTATAAAATGGATAAATGATGGAAGAAGAAGGTTAAGATATATGCACACAGAGTTGGCCATACTAGTCTAATGAGCATTAATGGCTCTCTTTTAATGGACTCTCTGGAATCAACACTTTCTATTCCCTCCAATTAAACATACTGACTACTACCCATGACCTACTGAATGCTTTCATCTCTGGAATTCCTACACACTTCTTCTTACCAGTTGAGTTAGATGCCTAACAAGAGTCTGTTGTGTTTGGTCCCAAACCTCCTTATGACTGTATGCCAGAGTGTAATTAATTTAAGTTACACAAACTGATGAAACATAAGCATGAAAAGAAAGAGTTGTTTCTATGAAATGTCAGTTGAATGCTCTGGAAATATTAGCTAACAACCAGTTGAAAATTACTGTCAAACCCGATGTGGGTAAGACAATTACAAAGGATTTTTTTTTTTTTTTTAAGAAGAAGCCTTCCCTTACACCACTTTGCAAGAAGTTTTAAGTCCTTAGTCAACTTTAGAGAAACAAATTAGAAAGCACAGAAAATATACCGTTGATAGGATTTATGTAAGAAAGGGCTCAAGAACACTCTAATCAGTCACTCTTGCTCTAAGAAAAATTTTGGCCTCACATCAGAAGACTGGCAAATGGGTGTTCCTTCTAGGGTTTTTTTGTTTTGTTTTTTTTAAGATTTTATTTATTTATTTGAGACAGAGAGCATGAGAGGGAGGAGGGTCAGAGGGAGAAGCAGACTCCCTGCCGAGCAGGGAGCCCGATGCAGGACTCGATCCCGGGACTCCAGGATCATGACCTGAGCCGAAGGCAGTCGCTTAACCAACTGAGCCACCCAGGTGCCCTCCTTCTAGGTTTTAAGTGACAATGAGATGTTAAGGTATGGATTTGCCATTTTTTTATAATTCACTGCATTAATATACTTTTCTGTTCAACTGCCTAACTATTGGGTCAGATCCAATTTGTTTGGGCAGGGATAGATCCTTATTCCCTAACTTTTTTGTTTTGTTTTGTTTTCATAGGAGGGCAGGTAGGAGAGAATTTGTCCTGGACTTACCTAACTGGTGAATTTGGATCTGCCTGCCCTCAGAGAGAGTGAAATCTTCTCTAATCAGACACAGTTAAATTTGCTAGGCCCCTTCAAGGGGGAGGTCGCAGTTTTGGGGGAGATCATTTTAATTCAGGGAATATTAAAAAGCCTCCCGGTCATCAGCCAAGCCACATTCTTGAGTTCAGCTCTGTTGGTGATAGAGTTGTATTTTCCTCTTCTCATTGGTTCTGGATTTAGAAGAAAGGGATGGTACTGACTGTCCCTATCATAGTCCAACAGTGGTGGATAAGATAGCTTCTATGTACTGTCACAATCAAGATACATTATTTCCCCTTTTATTTTAGTCTTTGATTCTGTTCATTCAAACGAAAAGTTGTCTCTGGTTTACAGGTGGTAGTCCAGCCTTGTCTGAAGTTCAATCTGCATCTCAAGATAAACAAAGAAGGAAACATTTATGGCTCCTGAGAAATATTGATATCAGGAAATATTTACTAAGAAGGGAAGAGGAACCCAAACATGGCTTGTGCCAACCCTTCTATCCCCACCCCACCATATCCCGAGAGACTCTTGACTGTCCTGTTGACTTCTGGGACAGGTAAACATGGCAAACTTAAGGTCACAGTCTATATGGCTACTTAAATGGGAACTGTAAACATAGCAGGGAATACTCTAGCCACTTTTCAGTGTCCTTTGAGGCATTTTGTAATCCCTATAGTGGTTCATAAAATCAATGTAGTAGGTCCTGACCAGTGTTTAAAAAGAAATAAAAATAATCGAGTTTAAAGTATCAGCCAGCAGTACATAAGAGTAATACTTCATGAAACTTGCGTCTCAGAGGTGTATTTATGTACGTGCATGTGTATATTCTGGGTTGAGATGTGCAACATATTTTGTATAGAGGGTCACTGTCAAAAAAGTTTGCCAAGAATATTATTCAGCAATAAAAAAAGAAGGAAATCCTGCCATTTTTGACAACATGGATGGATCTTGAGGGCATTATGCTACATGAAATAAGTCAGACAGAGAAAGACAAATACTGTATGACCTCACTCATCTGTGGAATCTAAAAAAAGCCAAACTCACAGAAAGTTGTTAAAAAAAAAAAAGCACTGGTTTAAGGTACACATTTCTTCTTCCTCTCGTCCTCGCTCTTTGCTAATCTGTTCTCTCTGAAACTCTGGTGCCTTGTGAATAAAAATTGTAGTTATTGACAGGCAGAGAAGCCAGGGCCAATTCTCATTCTGTAAACAGTTGGAATGAAAAACTGTTGTCCCTACCTCACTGCTCTGAGTCAATCAAATATCCAAATATCATCAAGTTAGAAGGGCTGAGATCCAGAACCTCATTAAGTAAGAGGTTACAGGAAAATTTACTTTAAAATTTATCATCTGCACAGTTCAAGCTCCAGGGGTTCTTCTTAACCACAAATTACAAAGGGTTTAGCTTGGTATTCGGGACCATCACCCCATCTTATTTTTCCGGACTGAGTCTCCTACTTTTCTCCACCTCAAATCCTACACCTCAACCAAACTGACCTCTGGTGTTCCCTGAACACTCCCTCCATTTCTTATTTTGTGTCCTTGATTGCAGTGTTCCTCCTGCTGAGGGCAGCCTCCCCAACTAGCCCATCTCTGCTGACCTAAGTCCCTTCCATCCTTCAAAGACCCATTTGCAATTTCCTTTCTTCTTGATTCCTTAAAAAAAAATTTTTTTTTTTAAAGGAGGCTCCATGCCCAACGTGGGGCTTTAACTCAAGACCCTGAGATTGAGTCACATGCTCTACCAACTGAGCCAGCCAGGCACCCCTCCTTTCTTAATTCCTAACATCTCTTGTCAACTCCATAAAGATCTCTTAAAAATTACCTTTCTTAAAAATACTTTAAAATATCATTTCCCCTGATTTAAAGAGAAATATTAATGTCCTATGAAAATAAGAAAAGGAAGAAGTCACAGAAGAAAATAAAAATCCAATTTATCTAGGCATGATATCTGTGATATGCATAGTATATTTATATAAGCTAGTATTATATCATCTTACGATGTGCTTTTCAATTACAACTATTTCCCATGTCATTAATCTTTTCCTTCAACAAGATTTTTAATGGTTACAAATAAACTATAATTTAACAATCATATAACATTGGGTACTTTGTTTTCACATATGGTGCTATATTTTGGGGGAGCACAAATGGGGTGGTATCCAGGATACAATGACAAATTTCCTAAAATAGCATAATAGAATATTGGGAATACAAAATTGGGGCCAATAGGACGATTAGGAGAAATGTAAGTTTCCCTGTGAATCTTTGGAAACACTGGCAGGTATGCTGGCTTTCCCACTTTAAGAGGAATAGGGGTTTGAGCCGACTGCACTTAAGTTTTAAAGGACAGTAACCCCAGAAGGCCTACGGATGACTTTGGGGGTCATCTAGGCAGCTGATCCAAGGAAACATGAAGGATCAGTATGTATGCCTCCCCATCTCAAAATATCTCCATCCTTATGCATCCTTTAATTCTTGTAGGAAGAGGTGTGCCTCTTGTCTGATTTCTTCCTCCCCCTCCGCCAGCCCTATCTCTCATTGTCCTTTTCGGAGATCTTGCACCATGAATTATCCCATCTCTCCTCTCTTATTCTCTCCTCTCAGCTGCTTTATTTGAGAGCTCCACCTCATATTGGGGGGCGGGGGAGGGATAAAGCAATCACCTCTCTCTCCTTTCCTCTTACTACCCCTCGAGCTACAGGCCTCTCTGGTTCACTTCCAAACTTCTGAAAAGATCACCCTTCACTGCTTTCAGCGCTTCACGCACTTCTCACCCAAGGGCTCAACTCAGCTCGCTGCCTGGCGCACAGTCGGCCCTGGCTGAAAGTTAGTTCCACCCTCTTGCAAATTGGCATCTCTTTCCTGGTTCTTCAGAAGGAATTTCTCCACGGTCAGCGGTGGGTGCCCACTGTCAGGCACCAGGGCCTCGCCTGCGCGCTCCCACACCCTGACCGAGCACCTTAAGGCCGCCTGCTCCCAGGTGCGCTGGGTTCTCGGAGAGTCCTGTCGGCCACCCTCCGGGCCTTCTGCCCGCCTCTCTGCTTTCTCACCGTGCACGGTCAGAGCTCCCCCCGTCTCTCAAGAGATCTCCCAGGCTACCCCCGGGAGGCCCTGGTTGCCGGTCGTCCGCTCTGCTCACCGCGGGTCTCACGGTGCTCCCGAAGGCGACACGTCAGAGGGCCCCCCGCCTCCAAGCCTGCGAGCAAGTCCCCGAGGCCGGCAATGACCAAAGGCTCAGGGCGCACCCACTAAGTGCCGGGCCCGGCCACCTCTGCCTCCTTCCACCTGGCAGCCTCTCGCTAGGCCCCACTACGTGCCAGACCGAAGCGACGAGGGCGAGTCCCGGCTCCCGAGGCGCTCGCCGTGCGCTGGGGCGAGACGGCGCCGAGGCAGCTCGGGTGCCTTTAGCGGGAGCCGGCGGCCCCTGCCCAAGGCCCCCGCCCGGGAGGCGCGGCGGAGGCCGCGGGGCCCGCGCGCTCGGCGGGGCGGGCGGGGCGGGGCCGGGGGCCCGGCCGGGGCGCGCGGGGTCGGGGTCCGGCCGCGAGCGGCGCCGTCCCCGCCCCGCCGCCGCCCGCGCCGCGCAGCCCGCCTCGGAGCCGGAGGCCCGGGGAGGGAGCGGGAGGCCGGGGGCCGGGGCCGGGGGCCGGGGCAGCGCCTCCGCCGCGCGGGCCTGGGCCGGCGCCCAGGTCCGAGTCGCCTTCCGCCCGCCCCCCCGCGGCCCCAGCCGGGTCCCGCCGCCAGGCCGGCTCCCGCCCCCGCTCCGCCCCCGGAGCCGCAGCCCCGCCCGCCACCGCCGTCGCCATGTTGTGGCTCCCGCAGCCGGCGCTGGGGACGCGCGCGGCCGAGCCCGGGGCCTGCCGCCGCCGCCGCCGCCGCCGCCGCCAGGTAAGCGCCCCCCGCGGGCCGGGCCGGGCCGGGGAGCCCGCGGGCCGGGGCCGCCGCCGCCCGCGGGCCGGGGCCGCGCGGAGCCGGGGCCGAGCCCGCGCCCGCGCCGCGGCCCTGCAGCCGGGCGGACCCCGCGCGCCGCCCGAGGCGAGGCGGCAGCCGCTTCCCCCGACCGCCGCCTGGCGGGCCCCGGCCGCCACCCCGCCCCGCCCCCGGCCGCGGGCCGCCTGCCCCTGCGCCGCCGCGACCCGCCGCCGGTGTCCTCCCCGCGCGGGACAGGCGGCCGCCCTCGGCCACAGCCCGCGGCCCCCCGGCCGGGCGCGGATAACGGTGCCACTTCACCCCGCCGGGGCGCCCTGTCAGCCCTTCCGTCCCCCGCCGCGCCGAGAGCTGGCGCCGTCCTGGGGCGGACACTTCGGGGATCGACCCTCTTGGGAGCCCCTCGGTCCTCCCCCACCTCCGCCCAAGTTCTGACCCTGGGGGAGGTCTCTTCGGGAGCAGACAGGTATTCCTGCTCCAGACGTGGGGGTCTTCAAGGGGTGACCAGGCCTGTTGATCAGGGTGGAAATGATCTCTCTGCAGGGGCTCTTCCTGCCAACCTGGGTGTGTGTGTGGGGGGGGGGGCTCAATGTGACCCGAGGGAGGACAGGGGAGCGTCTGCTGGACAGATGGCCTCCTGGCCTTGGATCAGCGTCTGTGAGGGGGAGGGGTCCATACGACCTTAGCTATGCCTGTTCCTGAGAACCCCAGGATTATGGGAGCTGCTCAGAGATTTTTAACTTTCTGTTTCTTTGAGTAGGCCAGAGGGGGCATTAAAAGTCCTGGACTGGAATAAATCCACAGGCCCACCCAGGGAAGCACGCCTGGCACCCAGGACTAGCCTAGAATAGGGCTTGGCAGTAGGAGAATGGGACTTGGGGGTAAGATGGTATTTGGCCTAGGGTTGGCCCACCTGCCTTCAGTTCTCTGTTCGTACAGGGCCTCTAGGGTGCATCTGTTGGTGTGTACAGTGTGGCTGAGCATACAGGATGTGGACAGACAGATGCCTGGCCTGGTGGGTGCTTGCTGGGATTTCATGGGTCTGTTTCCTCAAACTCACAGGTACATTGCACAGTGAAAGAGAGGAGGAAGCGCAGTGCTAGCACATGTATTTTGACCATTTTCCCAATGGTCATGGCTTTGATTCACTCAGTAAATTTTTACTGAGCACTTACTATGTGCTGGGCACTGGACTAGGTGCTGGGAGGATGGTGGTAAACCAGAAAGATACGTTTTGGCTTGAGCTCGTAGCCTAGTGGGAAAGCCCAATAATAAATAATCTGGAAATTTCGTTCCACACCAAATATTTGTCAACAAGTATGTGCCAGGCGTTGTTTTAGATGCTGTGAAGAAAGCAAGCAAAAATAACTGCCCTTGTGGAGATTTCAGTCTGTGTGTGTGTGTGTGTGTGTGTAAGACAGTAAAATAAAGTATATAGTGAAAAATGCAGCCTCTTAAAAGGGGCTAAATGCTAGGGAGAAAAAGAAGAGAGGGAAGGAGGATATGAGATATTGGGTGGGGGTTGAATTTACATTCAAGTGACCTGGGAAGGCCTTCTTAGAAGGTGTCTTTTGAATAAAACTTTGAAGGAAGTGGTAAACTAATCATTTCAAACTGTGCTGAGTTCGAGGAAGGAAAGATGAGCAGAATGCTGAGAGTAATTGGCCTTGATTTGATTTGGGGGCTTCGGGAAGGCTTCCCTGAGGAAGTGACGTCTGGGCTAAGACCCGAAGGAGGGTTAAGAGTTAACCATGTGTGGAGCAGCACGGAGCTTGGCAAGTTGGAGGAAGTGAAAGAGGCCTGTGTGGCTGGAGGGGGAAAGGGAGAGGGGAGATAAGTCTGTAGAGAGGTGAGTTAGATCACAGGGGGCCTTGGGGACAGAATGCCTCCCTCCCCCACCTCTCCCTCAACTTTGGTTTGTATCCACAGTGAAATTAGGAACCTTTGAAGGGTTTCAAGTGATTGACATGATGACATTTACATTTTAAAAGGTCTCTGGCCTGTTTGGGGAATGGACTTTGAGATAAGCAGGTAAGGCGAGGCTTTCTGTGTTGAGTGGCCTAACTACTTGATCTGCTTCGAAAAGCCTCAGAGCAGTCTGAGGGAGATCCTTTTCCTCAGAGTCTATTTTGTGCAGCTTTTAGGAAGGGAAAGAAAGACAAATTAGCATTTATGGAGTACCTGCTAGATGGAAGAATCAATTTGAGAGACTTCTGCAAACATCATATTTAACTTCGTCCTCTCTACAACTTAAGAGAAAGGGCTTGTCCTGCCCCTTTTACAGATACAAGCCCAGAGGGGATAGATGACGTATCCAAAACCACATTTGTAACCTAATCTGGATTCAAACCCAGGTCTCCCTGATCCCAGAGCCCACTGGCTTTCGAACCAAACTACTGGAGTTTGCATCTTGCTTCTGCCACTTGCTAACAGAATGATTTTGAGTTTAATTTCTTATGTGCCTCAGTTTCCTATTTGGAAAGGCCTCAAGCTTTTCCCAGCTTAAATGCAGATCGAAGTACCTATCTCATAGGGTTGGTAAATGCAGGTAAAAGCACCTACCTCATAGGGCTGTTGTGCATGCCAGATTAACCAAGCCACATAGACGTTGTAGCACTTACGTCACGTGTTAGTTGCTATTATTACTTAAATTTGTAAAACTTTTGACGTTGTAGCACTTACCTCAAATGTTAGTTGCCATTATTAAATTTTTAAAACTTTCATGCTGTCTCTTAGCTATGTTGTGGTCACGTCGGATGAGATTAAATATATAAAGATTTTATTTATTTATTTGAGAGAGAGAGAATGAGAGAGAGCAAGCACATGAGAGGGGGGAGGGTCAGAGGGAGAAGCAGGCTCCCCGCCGAGCAGGGAGCCCGATGCGGGACTCGATCCCGGGACTCCAGGATCATGACCTGAGCCGAAGGCAGTCGCTTAACCAACTGAGCCACCCAGGCGCCCCTGAGATTAAATATATAGATAATTTAATTCTTGGATTCCGTGAGACTTTTTCCCTCCCTTTTTTCTCTAAATAACTTAATGCCAATGTTCCATGTGATCAATCATTCAACATTGATCTCCCATCATTCTTGACACTGTGCTAGGACTTTTGGATACAAGGTGAGTTCCTTCCCTTCAGAACCTCAGGGTGTCCAGGGGAGGTCAGATATGTAAACAGATGAGCTACAATGCACTTAAGTTCTCTAATGCACCTGTAGTTAGAGAACTGTTGGGAGCAGTAGGAACTAAATGCCTGGGGGGAGTAGGGAAGACTTCAGGGCAGAAGTGACTTTTCAACTGGGCTTTGGAGGAAGAAAAGGAGTTTTACAGGCAAGTAAGACTAGGCAAAGGACAGGCCAGGTAGAGAGAGCTGTGTGTGAAAGCATGGAGCCATGAAAGGCCCGGTTGGTATGGGCAGGAGGCTGGAAAGCTGAGTTGGAGCTGTGAAAGGCAAGTCAAGTTTGGATTTTATTCTACAAGCCACAGAGAGTGTTAGATGAGTATTAGATACATCAGAGAGTATTAGATACATCAGATACATACCATGGTTGGTGTTGGAGTTAGAGAGTGGAGACAGATGTCATCCTGGGGGTGGCTTTATTTTGGCGGGATCACTATGTTTCAGGATCTGGTTCTCAGTTTCATAGTCCTAAAATTCAGTTTTGTAGGGCACTCGGAGCTTATTGGATCCAGGCAGACTGACTCATTAACCAAACTTGGAAGAGACTGATGCATAAACTCAGGGTATTAACTGGCCATGAGAAATGAAACTGCAGAATGACAGATGTTCTGTCCTCTGGCCATCCCCCCACCCCCACCCCTTCTGGCCAGGGCTGGGACATATTAACAAACTCTTGCTCCTCAATTCCTGTTTGTTTTTCTCAGGCTCATGAAAACTCATCCTTTTTGTTAACATAATCTTTACTTAAGCTCCATAGAGTGTGGCCAACCATGATTATTAATTGATAGAATGCATGATTCTGTATGGTATGGGTTGGATCGTATGTTTGTGAATCTTAAGGAAGAGGAAGAATAACTTTTTTAGAAATAAAATACTGGAAAAGGGGGTTCCTCAGACTTGGTATCCAGATTCTAAGTGGTGTGGGTAGTCTTGTACCCAAAGGGTGGTTGTGGGCAGATGTATTGGAAATTGTTGTGGGAACAGAGGTCTGTGAACCCATGGAGGGGGCAGGGAGCTTTTGGTTCCACTGGAAGGAGAGATTGGTTTAGAATTTTCATCTTCCCTACACATTGGAGACAGAAAAGAAAGTAGTAACTCCTCCCCTCTACCCAGCCTGGTCATGGTGAGCTTTGCTACTGGATTGGAATCTTCGTGGGGTTTGAGTTGTCTTAACACTTCTTTCTGCTTCTGCAAAGCTGGGAAGAGTGGTGATCTTCTAGAGGTTTGAATCTCTGTTTTTCTACAGTGAAAAATAAAATCCAAATAGACCAACCTAGATTGTGGACTAATTATTTTTCTTTTAAAACTCTAAAAAGAATTACACCAGAATATTCATGTAGAAAATGTAGGGAGCACAGATAGGTATATAAAGGAAATACAACTAACTGATAAATCCTCTAACCTAGAGCTACTGTTAACATTTTAATA